CATTTGAGTTCTTTCAGAACTCTCGGATGTATGCCATCTGGGCCTGGTGATTTTTCAGTTTTTAAGTTGTCTATCAGTTTTAGGACCTCCTCTCTCGTCACCTCAATCTGACTCAGGTCTTCCAACACCCCTCCTGAAATCAGTGGTTCTGGAGTGGGCAAGCACTTCTCATCTTCCACAGTGAAGACGGAGGCAAAAAATGCGTTTAGCTTCTCAGCCATTTCCCTATCATCCTTCAATACTCCTTTTACCCCTTGGTCGTCCAAGGGCCCCACTGCCTCCCTGGCTGGTTTCCTGTTTCTAATGTATTTGAAGAAAGTTTTATTGTTGGTTTTTACGTTTTTTGCTATATGCTCCTCATGTTCCCTTTTTGCCTGCCTGACCTCAGACTTGCATTTTATTTGCCATAGCCTGTGTTCCGTTTTATCAGCCTCACTGTGACTAGCTTTCCACTGCTTAAAGGAATTCTTTTTACTTTTTACAGCTTCCATTACTCTGTTTGTTAACCATGCAGGCTTTTTCCTATACCTGTTTGTGCCTTTCCTAACCTGCCGAATATATATTTTTTGAGCTTCTAGGATCTTAGTTTTAAATAGTTTCCAAGCTTCCCCAATGGTTTTGACCCTTTCTACTTTTCCTTTCAGTTTCCTCCCCACATGTCCCCTCATATCAGAGAATTTACTCCTTTTAAAGTTAAAAGTGGTTGTGTGAGTCTTTTTGGCCAATTCCCTATTTATACAAATGTTGAACTCAACAACATTATGATCACACATTTTCCAGGTTGTGTGGCTGTGGTCTTGGCTTTGTAGGACCTGACGTTTCACCAGCAGCTGTGACTGGCATCCTCAGAGGTATAACACTGAAAGATGGAGTACTCTCTGTGTCAAGGTGAGAAGAAAAATGGGAGGCAGGTAATTTATATCTACTCAGGAAGGTGGGGTAGGGCTGAGTCATTATCTGGTAGGAGTTCCCTAGGCTGTGAATCATGCTAATGCAGGAGCTTTCCTGAGTAGATATAAAATACCTGCCTCCCATTTTTCTTCTCACCTTGACACAGAGAGCACTCCATCTTTCTGTGTTTATACCTCTGAGGATGCCAGTCGCAGCTGCTGGCAAAACGTCAGGTCCTACAGTGCCAGGACCACGGCCACACAGCCCGGAAAATCTACAGCAGCTAAAGTTCCTGTCTTCTCTGAGGAAACTGACCTGTCCTAAATGTCAGCTTCCCGGGTGAGGGTGTTTCTGTGTCTGTGTGTCTGTTCTGTAGTCACCTCTGCTCTTGTGCTACTGGTGTTGTCTGCACCCCCTTCTTTTATTCGAGGGGGGGGCATGCTGAGCAATGTGAATTGCAGCCAAGGTCTCCTGCCAGGGTGGGGTTGTGGACAGACAGACTTGGGGAGACTCAGGCCATTCACTCACTCAATGTAGCCTCCCTTGCAAGGTTGTCGTGATGATAAAATGGAGGAGAGAGAAGCGCCCTGAGTTGGATCAAAGAGGCTGACCAAGAAGTGGTGGAGGGACTTCCTAGGTAGCGATGCAAAGGGTCTTGCGCACACTGTTCCCTCTAAGGCGAGTTAGTGTGAGCTAGCTCACAGGTTTTTAGAAGAGGAGGAGGAGGAGGAGGAGGAGGAGATTGGATTTATACCCCTTGCCCTTCACTCGGAGTCTCAGAGCGGCTTACAAACTCCTTTCCCCTCCCCACAACAGACACCCTGTGGGGCTTAGAGAGCTCTTTCAAGAACTGCGGAGTGGGGAAGTGGAGTGGAGGAGTGGGGAATCAAACCCGGTTCTCCCAGGTTAGAGTCTGCAGACTTAACCACGACACCAAAATGGCTCACACGTTTTTGCCTTCGCTCAGGAAGGAGGGCTCCAGAGCAAACTAATTTATGCAGCAGTCAAACTGCTCCCTCACAACTTTAATGCCAGGAGCTCACAAAGTAGATTTTTTGCTCACAAGACTCCGCAGCTTAGAGGGAACATTGTTTGTGAGCACTTGACCACTGAGCCCCTCCCCAAATAAAAACACCTTTGGACGGAGTCTGAGGATGTGGGTCTGTTGGGGCAGGATTCAGCGGTACCCTTGGCTCTGTCGGGTTTGCTTAAACCCAGCAACTGTCCTGCTCCCCCCCCCCACACACACACATCCCACATTCAAGTTGGCTTGGGGGGTTGAATCCTGGCCAAGGGTCAGACCCTGAGTCATCACTGGGAAGTCCGGTCTCATCCCAGCATCAGCCCAAATTAAGCCAGAGGCCAGGTGAAGTCAGGAACTGAAGGTGTCTGAACCTTCGTCAGGACTCAGGGGTGTTTTTCAGGTTTCTGTAGGATTCCGCCGAACCTTGATTCCTTCCTCCCTCGCTCATAATAAACTAGTCCAGCCTGTTTGTTAGATCTCCTCATTCCGAGAACCCGAGAGCGTTTCATAACAAACACCGTCCCTTTGGAGCGCTCTTCGTTGGCTCTGCGTGGCCTGCAGGTTCTTCGCTATTAGAACATCATGACTTTTTTTAAAGGAAATCTTTATTTTTTCCATATCAACAAACAAAAACAGACATACACATGAAATGGGGGTTACATATACATATCTATATTATCTAGCTGTCGCCTCCTGCAATCTTTATTATTTATTTATTATTTTTACTTTTTTTAACTTTTACTTATTTTTATTTATTTATTAGATTTTTACGCCGCCCTCCCAGCAAGGCCGGTTCAGGGCGGCTTACACAACAGTATAAAAATACGATATAATAATACAATGTGCAATACACAGAGCGTACTACAATTATTATCACCAAATTGTTTTGCATGAGTATTTTGCGTATTGATATGAAAATGAAGTCTATGTTATCTCCTAAAATGTTCATATGTCTATATTGTTCATTTATAATAGTCTTCCAACCATTTATAGAAGAAGAAGAGATTGGATTTATAACCCACCCTTCACTACCCAAAGGAGTCTCAGAGTGGCTTACAAACTCCTTTCCCTTCCCCTCCCCACAACAGGTACTGAATATACCTATTGAATTTACCTTGAATTATTTATATTGAGTTCACCTGTTGTATTGATATACTAGAAATAAGGCCCGTTGTGGAAATAAATACAACGAGATCTAGAAAGAGGCTCTGGGAGAGTGCTCTGGCTTTGGGCAAACAGTGTCAGTCTGCTTTTAAAACATGAATCTGGGACCTGCACACCACCAGAATACAGCAGATTCCATATGCAACTGACATTCCAACTGCCTTGCCGGGGGGGGGGGTGCGGGGGGGGGGGGGAGTTTGAGGTTTGGAATGGAGTGAAGTCCAATCAGCTTCCATATGCAGAAGACCAGGTTGTCGCAGCAGTTGAGGTGTGGGCGGGACCTGGGCTTTGCCTTCTGATTGGTGGCGGTATATGCTGAGGAGCAGTGCCATCAGCCATACACTAAGGGAGTGCATTTTAGAATTAGAACTTTGGCACCCACTATTCAATTATATATAAGGAGAGATTATACTTACCTGTTGTTTTTTTATAGGACACCTGTTGTAATTTCTTGCATTGTTGTAAAATTGTAGTAAATTGAGCTTTTGTAGTTTCTGCCATTTAGCCTTTGCTACTGTAGCGTCCTTTTCCTTTTTTTTAAGCCCTTGGAGGGGATTTTTTATTGCATTTTTCTATCAACTACAACAGAAAAAAGGGAGGGGGAAACTACATCTATGGGAGAAAGGAAAGAAAACCAAACTAAAAACCCAAGAATAGGAGATCATTACACCAGCTTATATCAGAGTTAGTCTAAAATGCTGTGATTACATTGAACTTAGTCGATCAAGCTATATTATTTATCTTTGAAACCATTATTTTAACTGTTTGAAGAAAATCATAAGAGCATCATTAACAATAAAGAAAAAGCTTTAAGGCATCATTCAGAGTTCTTCAGCCTCCATTTTGTTTTGTCTTTTCTAATCCTTAATGGGTATTCTCGTTTGGGGGCTGCTTTTCGGAGACAGAGTCCTCATCGGAAGTAGAGCAGCATCCTTTCCCACACAGTTTTCTCTTCGTTAGTTACCTTTCCTGTGCTTATACTGTTTTATGTACTTTCCTCCAGGGTTCAACTGACTTGGCGATATTAACCTTCCCGGCTCTTTGGCGGTCTCATCACTCCCTCCGCACGCCAGCCTGCCTGCCACCGTGGACTTCTTTATTCCACTTTGAGAGCTCTTTTCTGCAGAAGTGCTCAGTTCGAGTCCAGACCAACAAGGGTTCCAGGGTTTCAAGAGTCGCAGCACCCGTTGTCAAATATCAACAAGATTTTCAGGCTGTAGGCCTTCGGGGGTTCTTCTGCTACAGACCAAAAGGGCTCCGCTCTTGGGTACCACATTGGGCGGAGACAGTTAATATTGTCATGTCTTTGCATCCATGTAGTTTTATTGTGACTCCATGGCTTATAGAGGCTTTGATTCTAAGAAAGGCAGCATACAGGCACCCAAACCCAAATTCTGTTTCACTGTATCTGAAGAAGTGTGTGTTCACACAAAAGCTGATGCCTTGAATAAAATTTGTGTTGGTCTTCAAGTTGCCCCTGGACTCATACGTTGTTCTAAAACCCAGACCAGTCACTCAGTAATATAGCAGCACGGTTGCCCCTTCTTTTTCTGGCAGGCCAACATTCGACGGGTGAAGCTTCCAGCTTCATGCACCGGGTTTCTGTCATGCTGCTGCTAACGACGATGCGAGGGAGCCAAGGGCACCAGCAGCCACCCTCCCCCCAACCCAGCAGCTTTGCAAAGGAGCGGCGTGCCACCCCAGCAGCGCCAATTGCACAACATCAGCTTCCCCCGAGGGGGAGGTTGCAATGCTCAGATCTAGACGGTACGCTCAGAAAGGGCTCATTAATGTGTCCCCACCCACCCTGGGAAGGGCCCTTGCCTCCTTCCAAGAAGAAAAGCCACAGTCAGGTGCCGCCGGATGATGCACCGGGGGTGGGTGGGTGGGGAGTCTGGACTTTTCTCCACACACACCCTGACAGAAGGCATCAGGCCGTGGTGTGTCGGTGCTGCTCGGAGATACTGTGGAAGCCCCACAAGCCCTCCGTGACTGCCAGTGAAAAGCAAGGTAGGAGCAGCCGCTTAAAAATCCCTCCTTAGCTTTATTTTGGGGTGGTGGGGGGGGGAGGAACTGCGCTGCTTCTTGGTATCCTGCCCTCCAGCTGTGGGTGGGGGATTATGGGAAACAGGGAACCTTTGCAGAAGATGTTAAGTGGGCAGAGCAGGTGGTGGGGCAGGGTACTGCTCCCGCCTCCCCCTTCAAGGCGCTGCCTGGCAGGCAGGCAGGTGTCCGGAAGGTGAAGCTTCCACTAGCATGGCAAAGCAGCGCAGCTCCTGTGGAAGAGCCTCTGCTTGCCGTGCAGAAGGTCCCAGGTTCAGTCCCTGGCAGCAAAAGGGCCAAAGAGGTGCCGTGGCTCAGTGGTAGAGCCTTTGCTTGGCATGCAGAAGGTCCCAGGTTCAATCCCCGGCAGCATCTCCAGTTGAAAAGGACCAGGCAGGCGGTGATGGGAAAGACCTCTGCCTGAGACCCCGGAGAGCTGTTATGAGGGGCCGTGGCTCAATTAGGCTCTTCTTTGCATGCAGAAGGTCCCAGATTCAGTCCCCGGAATCTCCAGTTAAAAAGGACCAGGCAGTAGGTGATGGGAAAGACCTCTGCCTGAGACCCCGGAGAGCTGTTATGAGGGGCCGTGGCTCAATTAGGCTCTTCTTTGCATGCAGAAGGTCCCAGATTCAGTCCCCGGAATCTCCAGTTAAAAAGGACCAGGCAGTAGGTGATGGGAAAGACCTCTGCCTGAGACCCTGGAGAGCTGCAAAGAGGGGCCGTGGCTCAGTGGAAGAGCCTCTGCTTGGCATGCAGAAGGTCCCAGGTTCAATCTCCGGCATCTCCAGTTAAAAGGACCAGGCAGGAGGTGATGGGAAAGACCTCCGCCTGAGACCCTGGAGAGCTGTCAAGAGGGGTCGTGGCTCAGTGGCAGAGCCTCCGCTTGGCATGCAGAAGGTTCCCGGTTCAGTCCCTGGCATCTCCAGTTAAAAAGGACCAGGCCAGTGATGGACCTCCGCCTGAGACCCTGGAGAGCAGTCAAGAGGGGCTGTGGCTCAGGGGCTTGGCATGCAGAAGGTCCCAGGTTCAATCCCCGGCATCTCTAGTTAAAAAGGACCAGGCAGGAGGTGATGGGAAAGACCTCCACCTGAGACCCTGGAGAGCTGTCAAGGGGGGCCGTGGCTCAGCGGTAGAGCCTCTGCTCGGCATGCAGAAGGTCCCAGGATCTATCCCCGGCATCTCTAGCTGAAAGGATTAGGTGATGTAGAAAAACATCACAGTACACCTGGACAATCCTATGATCTGATCAGGCAGCTTCATAGGTGATCCTCATGTGGTGATGTCTGGCTAGTCTCAGGAGCTCCCTTTGGTGCGGTGGATGCTAAGCACCCTCTCTGAATGAAGGTCCACCATCAGGAGGACAGACAGACGAGTCTGAAACTGATCCCCAGTTTCGTATTTGCTAATCCAACCTCAAGCAGGGATGATACCTAAAGAGCTCTGCACCCCGTAATAACCTTGGGGACCCCAGCAGCAGTCATGCGTTCCCGAACTCCAGGGTCCTGTGCTGTGCCCTGGTCCAAAGCCGCCTTTCAATATGAACTGCTCCGTAGCAGAGCTGAACTCTGAGGCCAGGTTGGGGCATCAAGAGTTTCCAAGTCGGGTGCCTGAGCTCCTGGGACTCCTCTGAAGACTGTGCCTTGCAGGGAGACGGTTCCCCGGCCTCGGTTTGGCCGCCCAGGGATTTCAGGATTTACGCCACTGAGCAGGGAACCTCAGGGATAGAGGATTCAGCCTGTCCCCAAAGCTTCTTTTGGGGCGCACAAGGGAAGGAGCTGGCCCAGGGTAACTTAAATCTGCAGCCTGGGAATCAGTGGTCATTCTGGTAATTATTGTGGTCATCAGTGGTAATTATTGTTCAAATGACGCAGCTGCTTGGGGAGTCTGAGAATGGCTGAGAAGTTAACCAGAAGCACACAGGATACTAGAGGAGGCGGAGCCAGGCGGGAAGCATCTGTCTCGGTTCCCGGCTGCTCCACTCTGTCCGGGCTTGTTTGCGGGGGGG